CCACCATCTCAAGCTGAGGTTAGCTCCCGGTGAGGATGGGTTACCTGCGGAAATCTACGCAGTATTTTGCCACCATTTTACACCGGCTCCGGTGTGGATTGTTTTGACCAACCATTCACTTTACGTCAACTCGTGGAACATCGTCATTAGCTTCAATGATAGCAATTTGCTTCCTTGATTTTCTTGCGGCATCCGATTCCGTAGATCGCGAATCCCTCTAGAACATAGTTCTGGTTGATAGTGTCTCATTTAGATTTATCAACCTCATGCGATCCTGCTACCCTAATACTAGTACTCGAACCCGCATTTACGGCGAGGAGTCATACGCATTCGAGTTAGGATCTGGAGTGCTACAGGGGTGCGCAATGTCCCCAATGCTCTTCGAACTTGCCGTTGACTGGACAATGAGTCTTTCGACGGAAGGATACCGTAGTTCAGGTGTCTGAACTTCTGACTCACCGACTTAGAATTCGCTGATGATGTCCTTGATGAGGGTATTTCCAACCTCCAGGTAACCGTTGACAGCATCAGTAGACAGGCGTCTGAGATCGGTCTAGAGGTGAACACACCAAAAACCAAAACGTTTGCGACAGTCCCAGTTCATTCCAAAGGTGCTTTACTACTAAACGTTGAGCCGTTCAAATCCATCGAAATCTCCGAATACCTGAGATCAACCATACTACTCAACGGCCAAGCTAATGACGAGGTACGAATGACCGTCAATGCTGCAGGAGAGGCGTTCCCACAGATCGGGACCCTAAGTGTTTCACCAATCCAAGTCTCGGCTTATGTTACCGGTTTCCATCACTGAACAGCAGATCCTCGTGTATATGGGGTTTACTTCGTCTGCTGTTCATCACACGTGTGTGAAAAATGCTGAAGAATTCCCATTGGAGTAGAAATAAAATCAGCTTAAAGACAAAATTACAAGTTTTCTCCGCAGCAGTCCGTCCTGTCTCACTATACCACTGCGAAACCTAGCCATTAAAAGTCGAAGACTCAACCATTAGAAGTCTTTTATCACTGGTGCCTAAGTGTCATTCTGGGAGTAGGACTGATAGATCAGCTCTCAAATGAAGCGGTCAGAAGCCGGTGATTTGGTGTTATACGGCTGCGGACGCTGGTACAATGGCGGCAACTACAGCAGTTTGGTCACATTGTAACGGATTTATTTATACGATTGGTGTAAGCTTGCAGTTTAACAGATTACACGTTTAGTCGACAGGCAAACCAGAAAACAGCTCCTTAATGATACGCTTTGATCGATCAAAAACGAGGCATGAGAGCTAAAATCGGACAAGCAAAATGTTAGAATATGCGTCCAGAATAACAGCAATCTATGCAACAGATAGGATTAATAAATCAACAACATCGTTGGTTCGCTTGACATCTGTTTGTTGGTACTTCTACTTTATGCAACAGTCTCCGGGTCAGTGCAGTAAGTTAGTGTTACTGCCTTCCTGAACGAAAGTCTGCACCTATCTCCCGTGTCCACAGGTTGGCGGGATTTCGGGTTCTTTTTGTTTCAGGCTCTTTTTTCGTCGCTTTTCTCACATCTTTGTAGGGCGTGGTGGCCAAGTGGTTAAGTCACCAACTTGTGACCTGGTAATCCCGGGTCCGAACTGCTCCATCGCCGCCCGTCTTCCAAGGCAGCGTTTGTATAGCCGCGACCCCCCTTCCTGAAAGTTGACTGTACATTTGTATATTCCATAAATAAAAAAGAAGTAAAAAAGTCAATATTTAATTATTGTTCTAGATTTCTGCTGGACTATGACCTTTACCAAGTTATGCAATCTACACAAGTCCCAGTTTTCGATGAATTTAGGATTACGGTGATCCTATTACTTACCAATTGATTCTTTTATTTGCCCTATGATCCATAACTATGGAAGAAAATCACTTGTGCTGCTGTATGTGGTTAACTGATGTGTATGAAGGTTGCTTTTCAACTTCACCTTTCAGCTCTAATCATGAAAGTAAATGTTGAAGCGTCCTCGCATAGTGAATTATGAAGCGCAAAGCCAAGCAAAAGAGGTCTAACTTTTCACCATCCACTCAAGGCCGGCACCCGTATGATCCCGCAGTCGCACCAGATGGACCTAAAACAAGATCCTCAAACGAACCTCAAGAGCATTCCAAATCCAGCTCGTTTCCCTCTGTCTTGGANCCGGACACCAATGTACCAACCCGAGGTCGACCTGGTCGAAGTGTGTCAGACTCAGACTCGATCCCAGTCACAGCCATGGTCAAAAGTTCCTCGCGTGGTCGCCGCTCAAAAACAGTCGCATCATCCGAATCTCAAGGTATCTGCGAAGCACGGTCTTATTCTCTCACGGACGATCAAGCTACACCGCCTTCGGATTATAAAGGATTTGAACTACCTCCGTCTATTTCACAGGACTATGAACAGGAAGATACAGGTTTGTGGCCTACTCAACTTACTTGAATAAATACGAATTTTTTAATGTGGTATATTCAATTTTCTCTCTTTCTACGTTTAGCTGCGCCGGAACTAGTGGCAATACACGATCTTTCAGTGGCCTCGACACCATCAACGTTTGTGGAACCCAGACATTTCACTGATAAAAGTAAGTTCTACCAATTCACTTTTGTATTTTTAATGTGGCAACGTTATGTAAATATTATATTATATTTACACGAGTCTGGATCCAAATGTGGCCAGTTCAGTTCAGTTGAACTAGGCCATCTCCGTTTTCCGTCCGGTTCGTCCCGGAATCCCACTTGAGCAATAAGTCACCAGTGACTGCTACTTCCGTCGATTGAACACATTGGAGCATTTGAGAAACACAACGACGACGACGATTCTTTCTGTAGTTATTAATGCTTACGGAACCTTTAAGATGTACTACACAGTCGGCTACAGACTGGAATCCAGTCAAAAAGCGAGCGCTCAGCCTTGCCACGTAGCGCGGTCCCGACACCAGCGTCCGCGAGCACCCGACTGCCAACCAAGTCAAGGTACAATCGATATGAGAAAGAAAAAGGTCCATGATTTGCTCATAGTCGGAATACTTCCAGATTTCCCAGGACACAATAGGTGAATTTTCTTGAGGATTTACAACTCAAGTAGACTTGCCCCCACTCCGCCTTACCTGCTGCTTTACGGGTTCGGTTCTAGTCACAATCGAAGGCTTCAGTGGAAAACCCTAATCGTTCTCCTGCTTAGTCGGGAGACTTATAGTGGTGCCCGTCTCTCAAATTATGATGGCACAAACTCCAAAGAATTCCATACTGCATTGATCGTCACACAACATAATGAAAACCGCGTTGCTCACTGCGTCCAGGGGGACGGGTAGTCATGAGTAAGCTAATGCTTAAAGATATCCGCTTATCTAATTCTTTTTTCATTATAAAGTAAAAGGGGTAAACCCTTATAATCCAATGGTATACCATAGATGAAATGGTAAGAGGAACATTCCAGCTAGAACCAGCTTGTTGATTCTACCTTCAAGGACAGGGCTGTCGTAATTTGAAGAGAAGCCCAGAAAGGGGAGGGTGTTTCACAGTTGTGCTGTTTTGGAGGAAAGATGATTGGAAGTTAAAAATGCAACTTCTGGGGATGGTCACTTGAAATAACTGTTTAGCCGTTTGTGTACGGGACTTACAAGGAAGAGCAATTGGGAGAGGAAAATAAGAGGCAAGTTCAGTAGAAAACTTTTCTGGCTTGATTTGACTGGGATCGATTGGTGATTCTCAAATTTACGTCCTTAATCTTCATGGAGGGCACTGAGTGAGAGT